CCCCTGACTGCCACTTGGTGTGCTGCTGTTCCCCATTTAGGTGACCTAAAGGCAGTTAGCTCTGTATCTCTGCTTCTGTCTCCTTGAACCCCAGTGGGCCTCAGCAGATGGCCGCTCACACTGAGCCTGGTTCTGCTGGAAGTTTCTTCCTGTTAAAAGGGAGTTTTTCCTCTCCACTGTCGCTACAAGCATGCTTAGTGTGAGGGATTGCTGAAGATTCCATTAGTCGATGCAATCAACAGGTTTCCCTTTGATAGGAAACAATCAATCTGACTGGATGATCTGGTGAACTGTAAAGAGCCTTGAGATGAAAGGTGTTGTATAGAAATAAACTGAACTGAATTCATCGTCTTTATTTTTCTCTCCACTTCAAACTAATCCACCCCCCATTAGGGCTTGGGATCCGCGTTGCATTGTGGGACGTGGCGGCCATGTTGAGGGCTACGCGAACTTAAACACAGCTCTGATACAGCGTTGTTGTTGAAAGAAGAGACGTAGAAGTAGAGAGAAACAGTCACCTGCTTATAAAACACAATAAGGTTAGACTGACCTCTTTCTCTGACAGTTTGGAATGATGAGGATAAATGACCTGGAAGAAAAACAAACAACATGAAACCAGCAGCTGATCACATTGTTATAAAAACAATCATGTAAACAGAAACTTTATTAACTAATGTCTGCGCTACAAACTGCTCTGAAAGCTCTGGAGATAAAGCCAGGAGGAGGAGAGCTTTCATCTAGTTTAATTCTGTGTTTATCAAACTGCAGTGAGTTTCAGAACTCAAAGCTTCTGTGTGGGCCGGACAGGCTGCTCTGGACCAGGCTAACTTTAGAGAAGTTAGCATTTCAACTCTGCTTAACATTAAAAACTTTTCACAAATTAAAAGCTGCCGTTTAGCTGGTTTAGCATTTTCGCACCATTTTGCTGATGTGAGGGCAACTTTTGAATTGTATTTTTCCTATCCTGCATACCAGGGCATAGCCAGAGCCTGCAGCAGCTGCTAACTCAGGTCTCCTACCTCCACCGCCTGGCCCAGCTCCAGGTCGAAGCCCACCACACAGATGCAGTGCAGCCAGGAGGAGAAGCGGTCCCAGGGCAGGAGGAAGGCCTCCTCCGCCTCCTCTTCGCCCCCGGGCCCGGGTGGAAGGGTTATCTCCTCTGCTGGCGAGATGCTGCTGGCGTCCTGGTCATCCAGGTCCTCCGGTTCTTCAACCTGTTCGCCTACCTCCTCCGGGCCCTGCAGCGCCATGGCGGCGACCCGACGCGGACAGTCAGGAAGTCTGGAGGCTGGAAACGGACCGAGGAGTTAGATTTTATCTGCCCGGGAACCAAAAAGCCGCTAAGCACCAACCATTAGCGTTAGCATTAGCACTAGAAGCTGGGTAGAGGCGTAACTACGTCATTGTCCATTTTTGCGTCATTACGCAAAATTTCTATTTTGTCTGTCTTTTTTTTTTTCTTCCTTGTTCTAGCCTGTAATATTTTATTTGAGTTAATAGGAGTTGTGATCTTATTTGTTTCTTGTAATGTTCAATATTGACGTATTGTTGAATTTGTTTATTTTGTTTTTTTCAATAAAAAAAATAAATAAAAAAATTAAAAAAAAGGCTTTCACCCTTTATAGGGCACTCAGTGTTCCTTTGGAACATTTGAAAAATATGGAATATTTTGATGGCAAAAATTTGTGTCAATGTAATAACAAGAAAGGTTAACTTGCACGAATATATTAAGAAAAATAACAAAAGTGCTTCTATTAGAAATTAATGCAAAACACTCTGAGAGTGAAAGAAACACATTTTCTGATACAACATAACCTTAGAGGCTTTAATGCTGATACTGACACTTACATTTGTTAGTTTCAGACTTATTTCCATGACTTAATTTAATTC